AACCCTGCTGTGTAGGAACAATAAAAAACAGTGAGACCAGTGATGCAATAGTTCTGTATCCTGGCACCTAGTTATGGTTACGTGCATCTATACATAGGATAAAATTGCATAGAACCACATACACACATGCACAAATCAATGAAGATTTAAAAATATGGTGAAAACTGAATATGGTCTGTAGTCTAGTTTACATATCAATTCCCTAGTTTGATATTATGCAGCAAAAATTTAAGATGTCACCATTGGGGGAAGCTGGGTGAAGGGTACAAGAGACTCTTTGGAGTACTATTTTTGCTACTTCCATCGGAGTCTATAATTATTTCAAAATAAAAGTTAAAAAGAAATGGTGAGGGGGCTTCCCTGGTGTTGCAGTGGTTGAGAATCTGCCTGCCAATGCAGGGGACACGGATTTGAGCCCTGGTCTGGGAAGATCCCACATGCCACGGAGCAACTGGGCCCGTGAGCCACAACTACTGAGCCTGCGCGTCTGGAGCCTGTACTCTGCGACAAGAGAGGCCACGACAGTGAGAGGCCCGTGCACCGCGATGAAGAGTGGCCCCTGCTCGCCGCAACTAGAGAAAGCCCTCGCACAGAAACGAAGACCCAACACAGCCAACAATAAATAAATAAATAAATAAACAAATAAAAAGAAATGGTGAGTGACTTCCCTGGTGGTCCAGTGGGTAAGACTCCATGCTCCCAATGCAGGGGGCCCAGGTTTGATCCCTGGTCAGGGAACTAGATCCTGTATGCTGCAACTAAGAGTCCTCATGCTGCAACTAAGAGTCCGCATGCCACAACGAAGAAGCCCGCATGCCGCAACTATGAGCCTGCATGCCACAACTAAAAAAAAAAGATCCGCATGCTGTAATGAAGATTCCACGTGCTGCAGCCAAGACCCAGCACAGCCAAAATAAATAAATTAATAAATTAAAAAACAAAAAAGAAATGGTGAGACTGGAGCAAAATGAGAACCACAGGTGTGTTCTTCAGAGAGGTTTCTCTTCCCTTGTGCCTCTGCTGGCCCCCTCGTTGCTTCTGTGTGTTACGCAGTGGCTGGCACAGCTGTGAGATCCTACTTAGCGGCTTGTATTCAAAGCTTGTGGTGGCTGTAGATGTATTTGTACATTCTACCCAGTGGTCTGAAGTTTTAGTTGACAAATTAATAAACAACCATCCTCACCACCTCTTCCGCAGTCCTAAGGCTCAGAAACTTATTGAACATTTTACCCTACTCCCTTTGATTTGGAAGTAGCCCTAGAGATATTTGTGGACTGTTCCTAGGCTGTGGACCACAGTTTAAGATCAGTGTCCTAGCAAAGTTTCTATTTCTCACCACTGCATCTTTCTCATGAAGTTGCCCCTTTCAACATACTTAACCAAATCATATCCATTCCTCAAGGTCTGGCTCAAATCATTTCCTTTAAAATCCTTCTCTGACTCTCTTTCCTTCCCTGGCACCAAGCAGGGAGTGAATAATGTTTCTTTCCTCTGAAACTATTGCAAAGCAAATAAGGCTCAGGTTATGTATGGTATGTATTATCTATCTATCATCTACCTATCACTGCACTATAAACCTTGGAGGAGACAAAGGAGTATAAAATATGATTTACTGATCTAAATGAATTTCTTCTCTAGTGGTAAAAATGACAGTTCAACAATTCATGTTAGCAGTAAATGCTCTCTTGCCAAGAAATTAGCTTAGGCGTTGTGTGGTACTAATGATGATTAAGACTTAATCCCTGTATTCAAGGACCTTGTCTAATAAAAGAAATATGCACATAATTTAAGTGTAACACAAGGCGGAATGTGATAAGTGACAGCAGAAAGGTAATAAAGTCATATGGGAATATATTTAGAGAATATGTCTGATCAAAAAATGTAATCAGGGAAAAATTGTTAGGGAATATCACATTTCAGGTAAGTCTTGAAGGATGGGTAAAACAAGTCAAAATGGGAGGGAAGAATTTCTACTTGCAGTGAAAATGTTGTGTTGAAACCTACAGGCAGGAAAGCACGAGGCAAGCTTGGAATGCTTAGTGGACTCACTTGGTTGAGGGTAAGATATGAATGAGGAGCAAGGTTTTTTGGTCACAGAGGGCCCTGGACGCTATGCCACAAGTTTAGATATTATTCTGAAAGTTTGGTGAGAGTTAATGACAATTTTCTGGGTGTCACAATGGAAGCTTAGTTCTGGAAGGATAACATATGGCACCAATAGAAAATAGTTTTGAGGATGGTGACTTTAGACTGAGGCAAAGGAATCTGTAGGAGGTTATTGTTGCAATCTAGGCCAGAATTAATGAGGGTGTGAACTAGACTGGTAGCAGGAGAAACAGTTTTAGATAATAGAAGGTATGTTACAAGTGATGAATTGTCAGGTGAAGTGTACAAATGATTATGATGGTCAGAGGAAAAAATTATTCTGCTTGGGTGTTTTCTAAGAGAGAAAGCAGCAATAATGGACACAAACTCAGGGGGTGTAGTGACTTGAAGGAATGATCATAGGTGAGAAAACTACAATGTACATGTGCTTCTAGAGATGAGAGTAAATATGTTTGACTGCAGCAGATTGTATCTATAAAGTAATGGGAGTGAAGCTTGAAAGAGCAGGAGTTAGTTGTAGAAGGCCTTGCATCCAGTTAAGAAGCTTGGGCTTCAGTTTTGAGACAATGGGAGTTTAGAATGGATCTCGAGTAGGGGAGTAACATGATGAAGGCGTGTTATTTACACCACTTATTTGACATATGTACCATCTTGTGTTATTATGTAAGTTTAATCCTGGACACAGGATTAAAGTTTGCTCAATAAATTCTTGTTGATTGACTGAATCGATTGACTCATTTTGTCAAGGAAGAATTCTTCTACCATGTGAATAATAATCTCATTAATATACTTTAATTTTGAATATTGAGACTTATAAAAAGGGATCTATCCAGTTAGATCTGGCTCATATTGGCTTGTGAAAACTGAATGATAAATTTCAGGAATTTTGTGAGCAAGAACCACAAGTTGGTAGCTTGAGATTGGCCATTTTGCAAGTATTTACATCAAGGAGATTGGGAAATGCTAAAGAATCAAAGCTTGTTTTCTGGAGAGTTGGTTATTAAACATATATCATCACGGCACTGCTTATCTCCACCTCCCTTCATTCTTCTAACCCCCCCCTCAAGGTTTTTGAGGGCGGAGACTGAATCTTATTTGTCTCTGTATCCTCAACACAGTATTTGGACATTAACGTGCTCAATTAATGTTTATAGAATGAATGAAATATGCTCTTGTAATTTTTTTCCAGACTATTTAATAAACAAAAATCATTCAAAAGAAATTCAAATAGAAATCTAGACCTTGTGGGCCAAATCAGATCCTATGCCTGTTTTTGTAAGTAGCTTTACTTGGACACGGCCAGGCTTAGTCATGTATGTATTGTCTATGGTTGCTTTGTGCTACAAGGGCAGAGCTGAGTATCTGAGACAGGAAATGTATGGCCCACAAAGCCCAACATATCTACTATCTAGTCCTCCCTGAAAGTTTGCTGATCCCTGATCTAGACCCACACATCCAACAGTTTCTTAAAAGGTAGGATTGTTCCTAAAAAGGGCCATAATGAATTACTATACCGTATATTCTTATAGATAAATTATATTACTTCATAAATTGTGCATAGACATCAGAATTTTGTAGAAATTAATGTAGACACAGATAATTATAGAGCAATTTCATAAGCGTAGGGTTAGATATAAATGGTTTTCCAGTGGTGGAACTTTCTACCTTGAGAAGTAATGATTACCTCACATGTAAACATAAGCAAATAGTCATCCTTTAGCAGAAAGCCTTGTGTAATTTGTTCATGTTATTGAACAATGCTGCCAGAAACATAGCTGATATGAAATGATGTCTATATTGCAATTTATACTTTAAGAACTTCTCTTAGACCCAGATTCCAAAATGGCTCTGCTAAAAAGTGGTCTTCATGCAAGAGTACTTATAGCCAGAACACAGTTGTATGGTTTAAGAACAGAAATACACAGTGTATCTTTGCATATACGGTGTGGTGTCAAGAGTTTACATTTGCAATACTGGTTAATAAAGTTCAGGTCCAGTGTTGTACATTCCTTGCAAGTCATCTTTAAAGGCAAATGACGAGGTCATTTAAAATTTAGAATTCTCTACGGGAAAATTAACTTCCTGTTTCTTATTTGTACCCACACTACATCGATAATAATTTTTGAACAACTACCTTTAATGCCACCTAAAGTCTGAAATGGAGCAGTAACTTAATTTGATAGAATATAAAATGAACACCTCAGCTACATTAAACTGCCCCAGTTGGGTGGACACTCCTTGGGTACCCTGTTTCTGCCCCAAACATCCTGGGGAACCGCATTCACAGAGAATTCAGGGGTGGGCTAGCAGGGCTGTCAGCGCGGGAGCGAAGGCCATTGTCAACACAGGTGGCCTGATCACCTGACCAAACCGGGCTGACCCGAGGGTGGGAAGCTCTGGTCGTGGAGCAATGACTCCGCGGAACTGCGCAGGGTAGCTACAGGCGCGTACACCATTTTCCCTTCGTTATGATGAGGATTTTTTTTTCCTCCATTAACCTTTCACCTCCGGCGCACCGGACTGTAAGAGCAAGCGTTTTAAATTTTTCAAGTATGCAAAACTTAAGCACATTTAAAAATGAACCACATAAAAAAAAAATGAACCACAAAAAACCCTCGCAGGCATGTTTCAGACCCTCCTCCCAGTGGGGGTATGCGAAGCCAGCACAGGCGCGGAGTGGGTGCGCACCGTAACCGCGGGGTGTGAGATGACTCGGTGGAAGAAACTACCTAGCCCGCCAGCGCGCAGGCGTATTTCCGACCTCAGCGCCCAGTGGTCGAGCCCCCTTTCCAGTAATTTCGCTAGCCGTGACGTCATCCCTATGCGCCCTTACGGTGCCTCCCAGAAGCCGCAAATTCATTTTTTGGTAAAGGGGTAAAAAGGAATGAACTGACCTCTTCCGCCCCACTTTGTTTTTAGTCCTTCTCTCTGAACGCGCCTACGCTTTGCAATGGAACGGGAGAGGGAAAGAAAACCGGCCACAGCTCCAAGCGGCAGCAGGCAGGCATGACTCGGCGACGTCGCCAGCCACGTTACCCGGCGTGCCCCGCGCGGCGCCGGCGGAGGGACGTGGGGGGAGGGGCGGGGAGGAGGAAGCGGCGGCGGCTGCGGATGTCGCTGCGACCGAGTGGCGTCTGAGCACACGGCGGCTGCTGAGCGCCCGACCCGGGCCTGCGCCGGAGCCCACGCCAAGCTCCGCGGCTCCTCGCCCGCTACGGCGGCTTTGCGCCCGTTGTCACTGAGGCGACGTGCCCCACATTCTCCGCTGCTCGGGCTGGCCGGCTCTGGCGTCCCCTGGCTCCCCCTCGCTCGCCCGCTCCCTTCTGCGCGCCTGAGTCACCGCCGCCGCCATGGCCGAGAATGGTGAAAGCGGCGGCCCTCCGAGCTCCCAGGACAGCGCCGCCGCTGCCGAAGGTGCCGGCGCCCCCGCCGCCGCCGCTGCTGCTGCCTCCACGGAACCCAAGATCATGAAAGTCACCGTGAAGACCCCGAAGGAGAAGGAGGAGTTCGCAGTGCCCGAGAATAGCTCCGTCCAGCAGGTGAGGGCCGCCTGAGGCTCGGGGCGGGGTGGGGATGGCGGCAGGACCTCCTCCCGCGGCGGGAGAAGCTTTTGCAAGGGCCTGGGAGGAGGGGGTCGTCCCCGGAGCTGCCCTCGGCTTTTCTCCCGGGCCTCCTTCCAAGTTAGATCACACCCAGGTTCGTGGGTTTGCACCTGGGGACGCCGCAGAGGTTTGTGGCGGGGCCGCGCGGCCTGTTTGCGGGACGTGCCGACGCCGCTTTCCACAGCGCCTTCCTCCTGCTCGGGCGTCCGCAGACCCCCAGCCGCCTCCCCCAGCTCCCCGCCCCCAGCCGCCTCCCTCCGGCTCCTCACAAAGGAAAGGGACCCGCCGCCTGGCTCCAGGCGGGGTGGAGGCTGGGCGAGGGTTTGCCTTAGCCTAGTCCGCGGTTTTGTCTCATGAAGGAAAAAAAAGAGGGGGTGCTCATTGTTTTACCTGCTTGCGGGTTAAGGTGGATTTTGGGGGGTGAGGATCACGTGTACATTTAGTTCTGCTGAAATCTTTCCCACCTTCCAGTCTTTAAAGAAAAAATTAACTATAATGTAGAAATTGCTTTCAGCCGCATCTTAATAGTACAAAGCTTAAGGAGGAAGGTGGATGACTTTCAGTTACGATTTGCTGGATTTCTTTTTAAAGTATATTTGTTATCCCTTAGATGCTAATCGTTGGGGAGGATTTTGTTTCATTTTAGAGGGATAGCTATGTTCTTCAGATACTAGCGCTTGCAATCTGATAAAAGAGAACGAAATTGGAGTTACTGGAGAAAAATAAAAAACTCACGGCTTAAAATCTGTTCAGGAATACAAATTTTGTAGTTAATAATCTTGAGGAATTTAACAAATCGTTTTAGTTTGTTGTTGAATATACGTCCCAGGATATTGCCCTAATTATTGAATTGGTTTCAGGCAATGTGAACAGTTTATGAAGAAGCAAAAATTCCTGAAATGTACCTACAGATTTCCCTAGGAGTAATAAATGATTGGGGTATTTTTTTATGTAATTCTGAAAGGTGGTGTGTAGTGAGAAACTTTGACTACCTATTGAATCACTTCTTTTGGTCTCTCAATTCTCCTATAAAAATTTTCCTTAACATTTTAATATTTTGCGGCCTACAGGAAAATTGAAATGTGCAGTGAACACCCATGTGTCCCTCACCTAAATTATAGTTTTGCTTTATTTGCTGTATGGCACAATTAATCATTTATCAGTCAATTTTATTTTTTGGGTGCATTTCCAAGTAAGTTGCAAGTATTAGTACATGTTACCCTTAAAAAGCACTTAAGCAATGTGCATATCATTAACCTGAGTTCAATTTTTAACTTAAAATTTTTTTTTACGTAAGTTTGACTTGCAGTGAATTGCGCACGGTTGCCATTCCACGAGTTTACACAAATACATACACCTGTTTAATCCGAAGCCTAATGGAGTTGTAGAACTTCGTAATTAACTAGAAAGTTCCCTCTTGCCCATTTCCAGTCAGTTCAGTCACGCCCCTCTGTCAACCAGTGTTTTGATATTTTTCCTCCATGGACTTGTTTTGCTTATTCTAGAATTTCACATAAGTGGGATTATATGGTATGTATTTTGGGAAAGGCTTTTTCATTCAGCTTAGTGTTTTTAAGTCTCGTGTATCCTCAGTAGTTCTTTCCTTTTCATTGCTGTGTTGTCTTCCGTTGTATGAATATACCACCACTAACTGGGCTCTTTCCAGTTAGTTGCTATGAGTACTCTTATACAAATCTGTATTGTTGGACAAATGCGTTTATCTCTCCTGTTAGAAGTGCTTAAAAGTGGAATGACTGGGTCATAGCGTAGCTGTAGGTTTAGTTTCATAAGGAACTATGTTTTTTAAAAGTGCTTGTACCATTTTACAGTCACACTGACAGTACATGGGAATTCCCGTTGCTCCACATTCCTACTAACATTTGATAGTATCAGTCTTTTTTTAGTGGGTGTGTAGCCATATTAACTTTTGAAGCCCATAGTTCTATCTAGGATTCCTGGTTCAGGTCTTCACCATCCTGGCTGCTTTCAGTATTTTACTGTAAAAGATTAGAAATAAAGTCAATATTTTGTAAATAGAAGAATTCATTTAGTTCAGTTTATTATGCTTTTTATCTGTGAGGATTTTTTAACTTTTTGTGATGGTGAAACTAGAATTTCAAATTCTGTGGAAGTTTTAGTTTTACTCCTCTGTAACCAAAGTAAAATTTTAATAGATAAAACTAAAGTCTCTCTGTAGCAACTTTTTGTCATGGCAGTTGAATTTTTGTTTTGACGAATACTTTCTGTTGAAGCAGAAAACGTGATAAAAATTGAAGCTCATCACTGCGTCAAGAACCAGAAGACAAATTGAACTACTATGGGCTCTGTTAGGGGAAGTACATACAGAAAAATGTACAAGAATAAGAAAAGTAGTTTTCACATCGTTTGTAAAATTCTACCTGAAGCACACAAAAAAAGCATCTGTCATTTTATAATTTTAAATTTTTGTAAGGGTTTCACAGATTTAAACTATTTGCTGCAGATTAAAATTTGTCATTAAAATAAACTTAATGACATTGAGATTTCACTAAAAATGTTTAGTAAAAAATTGGGAAGTATTTGGTTCGGAAAATTCTTATCTAATCTTAGAGGTAAAGAGGGTAAGCAAAAGACCTACAAAAGGATAATATTGAAAGCTTAGGCTTTCTATCAGGCAAATCCCATTTTCTGCAATTTAAAATTTCTTTCACTGTTTCTATATAACGTAAATTCTCAATACATTATGCTGAAGTAGTATTTATATGAACATGTTCTAATAATTGATGAAACTATATTAAATCTCTTAGGTATAAAAAAGTTGTAAGGTGGTTATTAATTTTCTTGTTTTTCCCTCAATTTCTGTTTGTGTATAACAGGCAGAAACAAGATACTTTAATACAGTTTGTATTTAACACTTTTAACTTGTTCAATTGATAATAAAGCTTATACTTTTTAAAAATTAAAGTGAAATTTATTTTTCATTGCGTACTCAGAATCAGTTGAGTAATGTTTAAATTTCTAACTAAAGGTGGTTAGAATATAAACTTCACTATGTTCCAAGATGATTTCATTAATAAGGGTTTTCATAATATAAGTAGATAGATTTTTAAAAATGTGTAATGGTAAAAAGTCCCTGTGTATGAGATTATGTTTTCTATTAATCATTATTTTCTATTGGAAACAGTTTGAGGATTTCTAAGTGTTAAACAAGATGAAGTCCAGAGGAATGTTGTCTGTGTGTGAGTGGTTAAAATTAGTGCAGAGAATGGGAAGGGCAGTTTTGTATACTAGCTCCTAACTAGCTTGTTCTGGGATTTTTGTGGCTGTCTAGATTATAGTGTAAGATTTTGAAATGCAGTCACCTGAAGTATTCAGGCAATGTATATTGTAGTTTTAGAAAATACCTTCGTCACTTGAATCTTTTAGAAAAATACTAACATACTTAGACATAACGTAAATATTATGTATTGAATAGAAGTGAACCTTTCCTTGATAAGAGAAATTATATTGCGTCAGTGTCATCATCACAAACATCATTTAAAATTATACTTTATAGGGTAGATCTAGAACTCTTGTCCACAGTGGTGCCACCAGCCACATCTGACTGTTGAACACTTAAAATGTGGCTAGGGCTTCCCTGCTGGTGCAGTGGTTGGGAGTCCGCCTGCCGACTCAGGGGACGCGGGTTCACATCCCGGTCTGGGGGGATCCCGCGGGCCGCGGAGCGGCTGGGCCGGTGAGCCATGGCTGCTGGGCCTGCGCGTCCGGAGCCTGTGCTCCGCAACGTGAGAGACCGCAGGGGTGAGAGGCCCACGTACCACCAAAAAAAAAAAAAAAAAAAATGTGGCTAGACTGATTTGAAATGTGCTGTAGGGGTAAAATACACACCAGATTTTGAAAACTTTGGCTTGTTTCTTTGCATAATGTTTTCAATATTTATCCATGTTGTAGCATGTATCAGTACTTCCTTTTTATTGCTGAATAATATTCCCATGTATGGATATATATGTTACATTTTATTTTTCAATTAGTTGAGGGACATTTGGGTTGTTTCTACTTCTTGACCATTATGAATAACGCCTATGTGAATACTTACACAAGTTTTTTGTGGCCATATGTTTTCATATTTCTTGAGCATATGCCTGTGAGTTGAATTACTGGGTCATGTGATAGCTCTGTGTTTACCTTTTTGAGGGACTGCCAAACTATTTTCCAAAGTGGCTGTACCAATTTTTATTCCCACCAGAAGTGCATGAGGATTCCAATCACTTTCCATTGTGTATAACACTTGTTATTGGTCTGTCTTTGATCGTAGTCTTCCTAATTGCTGTGAAGTACCTTACTGTGATTTGTGATTGCTTGGCTTCCTGTTGCTCAAGCAGCAGTTCTTAATATGGTCTGGGGGGTCACCA